ATATTTTTTTGTGGGGAAAAAAAATTTTTAAGGGAGGGTTTTTTTTCTAAGGGTTTTTTTTTTTTTTTTTTTTTTTTGGCCAATTTAATCAGGAAAGCTCAGAACTCAGTAATATGTTTTAAAAGGGATGTTGTTTTTGAGAGGAGCCAGCCAGCAGGAAAGAATCTGTCCCCCACAGGAAACCTATGAGCTTTTCAAGTAGCATGGCCATGAATATTTCTGAAATATTTGACAGTGAATAATTAATAATGAAATGTGGTTTTTTAAAAAAAAAAGGATTTTCTTTCTTTCTCAGGGCAGAACTCATTTATTCAATGTACTCATCACCTTCCAATCACTGCAAAAATAACACCTGCTTTAAAACAACATCTCCGGATGATGTGATTATAAATCCCAGTTTGTTATTGTTTTTTTTCCCCATCCATAGCTGTTATTAACTAGGCATAAATTATAAATATGTCTTCCTTTTGCAGTTAGGTTGAGAGTTTGCTTTAGTGCTTTATATCCCATGTTTTTTTGTTGTTAAAGAGCATGTACTTTTTTTCTTACAACAAGATGCTAACTGGCTCCATCCTATAAGACAAACCTGACTTTGAAACAATGCAGTCAGATCAGTGCTGTGCTCCTGCCCACTGCAAAATCCACTCTGCCAGACAGAGAGGCGGGATTCATCACTGATGAGAACACATGTCCGCTGCTCTAGACCAGGGGTCGCTTACTTCAGACATCGGGATGCAGCTGCTCAGCCATGAAGCAAGCTCTATGATTTTATGGCTGAGCTGCCACAAAACTTTCAGTTTTGTTAAATTACTACCAGACAACAGTGGGGTTTTGCACAGATATTGGAAGTAGTTTAAGACATTTAATGAAGTGTCTATATATTATTTAACTTCTATTTAACACTTTGTTAAATAGAAATCTGGCTCGGTGTCATAAAAAAGTTAAGAAGCATGTTTAGGTGTTAAAAGTAAAATGCGCCTTGAATGTGCATGCTTTGCGCACTTATTACTACGGACGGGTTACTAGATATGTACATATGCATGATGATGCATAATGTGAAACACTAATAACGCTGGACAAAGTTCATCCAGAAGAAGAGAAAAAAGTTGTCGGGCCTCATTTGAACCTCAGCTATGTCATCTGCGGCCTGTTGGCGTCACTCTTGCTCCTCCATCACTCTGAGCAGCGTCCCCCCACCAACCCCCACCACACGCACACACACACGCACGCACGCACACACACGTACACACACTACATACAGGACGCGCACACTCTCGCGCTTCAACCCCGGATGGATGACTTCACCGCTCTGCCTGGGTTTCCTTTATGATCCCGGGATCTCCCACATCCCTCGCCAGACATCAGCCAGCAGCACAACTGAACGCAGCTCCCTCTCTGACTCCCTCTCTTTCTCTCCCTCCTCTTTCTCTCTCTCTTTTTCTCTCTCTCCCCTTAACGCACAAACACCTTCTCTGGCTGCAGCTGCACCGCATACAGAGACCGCAACGCACCGGGTTCCACTCTCAGAGAGAAACCCTCCTGCAGGAGACAAGCGGCTGCAATTTGCGCGAAGAGGGATCTAAATCTCCCCGAGGAAAGGAAGTCTGCTTTGTGTTGCTCCTTTTTTTGTATTTCTTCCCCTTCTTTTCTACGCGGGTTAGCTCTTCTATACGTGCCACAATGTCCGAGGTGCTGCCATACAACGAGGGCAAAATGAGCGGCTACGGAGCGGACAGCGAGGTCAGCCAGATGTCCTTTAGCTGCGGACTGCAGGACACAAGCGCCTTCTTCGCTGCGTCGCAGGCGAAAAGACCCCCAAAGCTGGGACAGATCGGCAGAGCCAAGCACGGTAAAGGATGCTTTTTTGTTGTTTTTTGTTTTTTTGTTTAATGACAAGTTGGGGAAAGATTCAAAATGAGAGAGAGAGAGAGAGAGAGAGAGAGAGAGAGAGAGAGAGAGAGAGAAAAAATAACAAAGGTGTTGCAGAGTCTGGAATATTCCAGCCACCTTAATCAGTGCGCAAATACTTCCAGGTGACATTCTGTTTACATTCATAGACAGGAGATTATCTCCGCGCTCGCAGGGACACACCCTGTAGGCACTCTTTATTAAACAGTAAGGATAAAAGGCTGGCTCTGTGCCATTAAAGATGCGCCTTTATGTGCCAGAATTTAATTTGGGCATTTCGTGCGCCACTAATAGATAAGGCGAAACGACGTACTGTGTCATTGTCATAGTTTTATATTGAATCTGAGCTGCTTTGATCTAAACATCTTCATCCATCCCCCCCCTCCCCCCCTCCTTTTGTCCACAGTGGTCATCGAGGACGACCGAATAGACGAGGTCCTGAAGGGGATGACGGACAAGTCCTCACCTGGCGTTTAAAGCGTCTCCGATGGCCTTGCAGACTTTTTTAATTTCCGATCACCCGATTTGAAGCACTTGTCGGCTGTGCATGTTCGAGGATTGCAGGAGAGAAAGAGAGAGAGGAGAAGAAGAAGAGGAGGAAGAAGAAGAAGAAAAAAACACGGGCAGCTCTGAACGAGGATGGGGATGATGAAAGGAGGAGAAAAAAGAAGGGGAATGGACAAAGCTTTGAGAGGGGGGGGAAAGGAAAAGGAAGAGGTGAAGAAAGACTGGTGGACTCTAAGAGGAGGGGGGAGAGAAAAAAATAAAGACCAAGATTTATTGTGGGATTGCTGGCAATTCTCCAAAAAGAATCCCGATTTTAACTACCGATGCGCAGCAGGATGTTGAGATGGCTGCTGCGCATCTCAACCTCTGCTGACTTAAAATAATGGATGAACTTGTCGTTTTCCTTCACGATCATCTCTTTCTGTTTCTTTTTTTTCTAGAAATATATATATATATATATATATATATATATGAATATATAAATATATAAAAGCGCTGTAAACAACAAAACACTGCAACTATAGAGGGCCCTATTGACCAGCCCTATTTCAATAAGTTGTACAGTAGGTGAAGCTATAAGCTCTCAAAACGCCCCGCCTCCCCCTTCTTTCCTCAGCCCTTTAGGCTTTGCTTTGTTGATCCAGTCAGCCACGGCGCATTTTAAGGGAGCTGTCCTTTCAGCACTGATCCAATGCATCCCCTGTTGCTGCTAATGCTTTTACAAGAAGAAGAAGAAGAAGAAGAAAAAAAGAACAGATAAACCAAACTTTATTAAAGGAGACTCATTATATGTATAAAGACATATTATCTGAGGATGTTGATATCTTCTGTAGTAGACACCTCTTCCCCCCACCCCCTTCTTTCCCTGTTTGTTTCAGCGTATAAACAGCAGAGAAACAGACCACACTGTTCATCTTTGCATTGCCCCCCCCTTTGGTGGTGAATGGTGCAGGATGGCACCTCCATGTAGCTGATTTAAACCTGCACATATCTCAATTTTTTTCTCTCCCCCCCCTCCATTTCTCATCTTCTTTGTTTGTTTTGCAACTCTTCAGATATCTACAGAGGCCTCCGCGAACGTGGAAATCCCAGGAAACGGTTTAAATACTGAGTTGTGTAACTGATGGGGGAGTTGTACGGTTTTGAAAATTTGTATTTGCAATTCTGTGTAGAGTTAGAAATTTCTCCCTCCCACCACCCTCCATCTATTTTGCATGAACTGTCCCATTCTGGTGCCAACGCAGGCGCCGCCACTCGTAACCCTGGCACGCTTCTTTTTAACAACAACAACAGAAAAGTCATATTTGTATTTTTATATCTAAATATTTGTTATTTGAATTATATGCTAGTCTCTCGTCTTACGGTTCATCAACAACAATATTTGTACTTCAGAGAGGGTTTGATTAATGGGACTGGGCCTCACACTGGCTAATCTCAGAGTTTAGTGGACCGGTCTCGTTCAATATCAAAGGTCAGGCATTTTTTTAAAGACTTACTGAATGTGTCTGGGGTTTTTTGCACACATCAATGTTAAACTATTATTAAGAAATCGTATACTGTGAGTTCAGCTTCGTTGATGAATTTGTTAGAAAAAATATGGCAGTTTTAGAGTATATTGCACTGTTTACGATTATCCTCAAATAACGCGTTGTTATTTGACCAATTTTGAACATGACAAGTTACTTTCGTTTGTTTGGTTTGACTTATTTATTTTTATTTTGTACCATACTTTTCAACAAATGGTTGGTTGTGCATGAAACCTTAATATTTTCAAATATTAAAAAAAAACAACAACATTGTTTTATGAAGCAAAAAAGCAACAAAAATGTCATGACATTCTAAGAATGAGTCATTGTATATTATGATGCCATTTTCACTGTATTTGGTGAATTAATAAATGGTGACAGAAAATGTTAATGCGATTCCTCGACGTGGCTTTTGTTTCCGAGACATTCTGCGACGAACAACGAGCCAGCACTTTGGGGAGCTGGACTTGTTCTGTGAGTGAAACTGAAGGCAAAAGCGAAAGGTCACATCATCTCAACCACATTAACCACGGCAGGCGGAGCTAACGTCCTCCGAGCAGACAGGGCTAAGAGTCGCTGCAGGTTTGGGGGCCTCCGCATTCATTCTGGAATGATTAGCTGTGGTACTAATGACAGCAAATACCGAACCTTAATTAAAGAGATGGAATGAAGCCACGATCCAAGTGTTGAGCTGCTAAACGGCTCTGCGCTGGCCTACACAAGTGAATCCATTAAATCACAAATCCCCGGGGAGCCACAACTAGCCACTATAATCACCCACAGGCATTTTGCGTTGTGCTCACTTCACACAACTGTCTCCCACACCCAGGATCCCAAAATTAATGTTTTAAACGTCCTGTCATTTGTTACAGAGATGCATTCGGTACGAGTTTAATGGGAGACCAAACACAGGGAATGTGTTGACAAGTTTCTCTTTCATTTATTTGGATCAAGTCTGTCAAACATGTCTGACGGGGCGGGAGTGGGGTCGTTCGCCAAAGAGTTTTAGTTTCTGGATAAATATCGTTTGAGCCTGTACGAACCCATCTCTGGTGGCTTGAGAAATGCTGCGAGAATCATCTACCTTTCCATCATAAAAGGTTTGTGGATTTTACACAGACTTTGCATTCTGCCCTCTTTACTCTGCCACCCTCGTGGAGCGCTTTTCTATTCACAATCCAAAATTGAAAAGAGACTACGGACCTGCCAAGACTCGGTTCTTCTCCTACATTGAGTTGTGTAAGGAGATCATTAATCAGAGACACAAAAGATAAAACGCACCGGATTAGATGCAAAGATCCACAGCTCAGGTGTGAGAATTTGTTGACAGACCATGTTTTGCTGCGGCAAAAAGTCATCGTCTAAAACAAAACCAAAAGACGTCCAATTTGCATGGTCTGCCTTAAACTATGCAGGGAACCCCAGAAGCACATGGAAGAAGGTCCTCTGGGTAGAGGAGACTAAATGTAAGATCTGGCTAGCTGAAAAGTGGCACAGTGCACCATTCTGAAACTCCCGTCCCCATAACTGAAATATTTTTATGCCTCGTGGTGTGGGGATGCTTTTCTTCAGCAGGGTCAGAGAATCTGGTCAGATCTGAATACAAGGCAGTACTGGAAGAAGGTTGAACTGGACTTGAAGCTGAATGGGAGGGTCAATTCACTAGAACGGTTTAGATCAGTGGCTAAATCAAAGTCTAGACCTAAATTACAACATCTGTGACAAGACTTGAAAATCGATGTGCACAAATGATTTCCAGCCAAATCTCACTGAGCTCGAGTGACTGCAAAGAACGAACAAATGTCTGGATATGCAAGGCAAATGCATACACACCTGAAGAGTGCGTTATACACACTTTTCACATCTTTTTTTTTTTTTTTTTTACTTAAAAACATGCAACTTTTTCCTTCTGCTTTACAATAACTTATGTTATTTTGTCACATAAAATCCACATAAAACACATTTAAATTTGTAGGTGCAATGTGACAAACTGAGGTACTATCGCCAGAGATATATGATGGGAGTAAATAAAACAACAGAACTATTCTACAGTGTTTGATGGCAGAATCAAGGAGGAAATTAGGTCAGCTGGCAGCACCTCTTCCCCACCTGCAGCACACAAACATGATTGATAATCACTCAGAAGAAACAAGTTTCCCTGCAACCGCACCAGAACGTTCCTGGAAGCGCGCTGGTTAGATTAACCCCTTTATTGGTTTAGAACAGCGTCTACAGTACCAGGGCACATCTATAAACAGCCGCATGCACTGACAACAACAACACGCACCGATATCTGCATGCCGTTCCCAAACTGTACTCTGAAGGACACAAACAAAGCATCACCAGTGCAACCCTTCCACATTCCCATCACCGCGATTATCGACTTCTCCGATAACACCAGCACTGCGCTGAATGAACAAATAGTGCTATTGATCGTGTTGTTGTGGATGCTGGGGGATGAACTGCTTATGCGTGTGTCTGCTTGGTGCCGTGAACAATTACACTTTAGCAGCAACGGGCAGCCGCAGACCGGAACAGGACAGACATATTTGGACAGATATTGGATTGTCCTGGCTCAGCCTCAAGCTGCTCTTCCTGTCACATGAGCGTTTGTTTACAAAGGACTTTTACTGCAATTCATGTTGGTTCACAAACATTTCTCGGACAGATCAGTTGGTCTTCAGCCGTAAAGAGCCAATAGATCCACACGCTGGTTTCCCAACAGGATACCAGGGCTCAACATTTATTCATCCAACAATCTGACTTAAAGTTTAAGATTTTAATGTGAAATCATAGTATGCTTTTAAACAGTATACATGTTTCCTTTAAAGACCAACTAACCTGCATACCAACGGCATGCATAGCTAAAGTCTGTGTGCAACTGTAGGATATTTGTTACACCAAATGTCTCTTTGAATTTGACTTTTGCCGTCATGAGAACATTGAAGAAGATCTGTGGGGTTGAACGGCTGCAAAGAGAAAAGCTCTTCAGAAAGAACACTGATGTCTGTCTGTTTTAATTTCACTAAAACAAAACAAAAACTGCATTTCAGTGTAAGAAACGTTTGAAACCGGGTGGTGGTAGTATCATGGTCTGCTGCTGCAGCTTCTAGGTCAGCAATTTTATATTTTTCCAACAAGTTGCCAATCGTTCGGTTTCGTTCTGTTTTTGCTACACAAAGAAGGAATAAACACATCGTTTCGTTCACTTTGGCAGAAAACATATTCAGAGTGTCTTGAACTTTCTCATATTTTGTCTGTTAAAAGCCACAAACTTTGTTGTACTTCTTTGGGATTTTACCAAATGGACCAACACAAACTAGGGCACAACAGCGAAATGTTCAAATAAAAACAAATACTAATCTGAAAACTTCACCCATCCATCGTCTGCCGCTTCATGGGCTCGGTTTGCGAGGGCCGCAGCTGTTTGTTCACTGATGTTCTCTAAGAAACTTTGGAGGCCTTCTTGGGACACAATGAATTTATACAGAAGTGAAATTCTTCAAAGTGTGACTCTGTTAACTAATTAGGAGACTTTAAAAGGTTTACAGCGGTAAATAAGGTTGAAATGAAATGGTTAAAACACTTAGCAGAGCTTTAATATAAAAGAAAGAAAACCGTGTATCGTTTCATTTTCCTTTTACAGTTTTGTCATGCTCTGTTGTGTAAAATCCCAATAAAATGAATTCAAGTCTTTTGGCTGTAACTTGGCAAAAAGGGGAAACAGATGATTTCTCTACCTTATGCCATTATTCAAATATGTCAGGGCTTGATGAACTTATATTCATTAATGTTTGGTTCTTGCTTCTTTAATGGAGATTGTGCACATTTTAAAGTCACCCCATAGCCAACTCTGGAGATTAAAACATAGCCCTATCCTATTTCATAATTAGAATTTAAGAAAATAAAAAGCAATCATTTTTGTGAATGGATTAATCTCACTAGAGGTTTTCTATTATTTAGCAAACCTCTTCTGTCCATTAGAGTTTGAGAATCAACAATACTTTTTGAAAACAAAACAAAACAAAACAAAAAAATCTGTGTTCCTTCTTGGACATTAGCTGAAGAAAATAAAAGCACACAGACTCTCTCAAACTCTGCTGAATGACGGCAGTCTGGCAGATTGTCTCGGTGTGCGGCTCATGTTGGGGTCAATACAAACATGCTGTGCCTGCCTCCAAAACAAACAGCCCGCTCTGTAACCACAGGCGGACCGGACGGAGACGAGTCTGATGAAGATGGAGGACACACAGGGCATAAAGCAAGGTGAATCCGGCACCACGGCACACACAGGCCGCTGTGGCAGTCGTTAGAACCTCTCGTATCATTGTTCAAGTACGCAAAACACCACTTTCCATCTGTCTGAGTGGACATCCATTAATATTCCTCCTCTTGTTACATAAGTCCACTATTCAATATACAGAATTATGCCATTGTGCAGCCTCAGGAGACATGGACAGACACACACTGTCGTTTGTATTTTCCCCACAATGCATCTGGTGTAATAACAGTTTGCTCTCCCCTACCCATACTGCTGAAAAGCTACAAAAGCTAACAGAATTTTAATATTACTGTCAAAGTTTTTTTTTTTTTTTTTTCTCATCTAGGACTTCTAGAACTACTGGAGAGCTTTTGAAAAGATATCAATTTTATTATTAGGATGGGAATCAAAGCTCACATCAATACTTCTGTAACAGTAATAATGCATGTAAGCTAATTTTACCGAAGCAGTGGGGCAATGCCAGAGCAAAGCTGCCCCACAGCATCACACTACCATCACTGTGTTTGTTTGCATGTTCCTTTACGTTACATTACATTTATGCCCAGATGTAGCAGAAAGCACAACCATCCAGAGAGATCCACTTTGGTCTAATCAATCCGTCTTTACCTTAACTCTGAGCTGCAGAGCTTTAGGCATCGTTCTAGGACGTCCTGGATGAATCTTCGATGTTCTCTCAGAGTAATTTTGGTGCACCAACTTTACAAGTTTACTGCTTAAACTTTACCTTTAATAACATAAAGTTACCTCATTTTTAAAGTGCAATCAGTAATACTTTTATAATAAATTTCTATCAGTAATGATTTCTTGGTTAATGTCAAGTTGTCATAACAGACATTTTGAATTATGTCAACTTTGTATTAAAAGTGTCATAATTTACCGAATGACGCTTTATGACAACAGTCATAAATATTCATGAAGGCTTATTGATGTTCATGACAGGTTTTTATGACAGTGTCATGTCAGTCTTATTCAACCCTCTTCAAATAAAGTGTTACCATTTGCACTAATGTAGGATGTTAAAGGTGACTTTTTATTGACTTATAAAGTGTGGATGCAGTCACTTAAACTCAATGTTTTTGAACAAATTTGAGAAAATTTGTAGTAAAATCTGAAAAAAAATGTGGAGATTTGTTGATTTTGTGTGAATTTTGCAGATTTGTGGAAAAACTGGAAGAACTTATTGATGTAATTTGGAGTCACATAAAAAGCTACGGTGGGCCGGATTTGGCTCCCGGGGCCCTGAGCGTGACATGTGATCTATATCATTCTTTTATTGATGATCAGAAGCATTTACAAATGACAAAAAAAAAAAGAAAAATGTCTGTAAGGTGGGGAAACTTGCATTTTAAAACCTATTAACTACGTGATTTCATCCACTCTTTGAACTCTTCAACAATCCTGTGGTGAAAAGTGAGTCAGATTTTTAGTTTTTTTTTTTTTTAAACTACAAAATACCAAAAATGCCTGGGAAGACTTCCCTTAAGAACAGCAGCTCATGACTGCTGCTGCAGGGAGCTGGCGGTTCAGAAGGATGCAAAAGGGCCGTGTCGTGACTCGGCTCAAACACAAATTGAGCAGAATGAGCTCTCGGCATATTTATAAAAGCATACGGCTGACCTTTTGAGTCGCATGATCTGCCACATAACACCCATAAAACAAATCACCGAGGGCCAAACGATGCTCCCAGAGGACGTGATGGCGGTGGCGGTGCTTGAGAAGAGGAGTGATTGAATTATGTTTTTACTGTGTGAAGCATTTTGGCCTGCCTTGTTGCTAAAATGTGCTGCACAAATAAACTTGACTTGACTTGACTGAAAAAGTTAGAGTGAGTGAAACACTGAGCATGCAATAGATTATTGCCATGGGCAACAAAGCAAGGAGGACAATTACTTTTGGGAGAAACGGGGAAAAAAAATAAAATAAAATAAAATCGGGCTTCTGTTTCCTCACCAATATAAAAGCACATGAAGGAAATAAAGTTAATGACTCGAGATCAGGTGAGAGAAAAATGAACAAATACCTGAAAGACAGGATTTGTATTTAAACAACGGCAAACCTCTCATGCATGCGTGAGGCTTGTGCTTTGCTCTGTGGTTACATAACCTAAGTCCAGGCAAGTTAAATCTCTCAGTAGGGTCTCTGCCACTGCACATCAGTCAGTCCCTCCGAGGCAGCTGGAAACCTAACATAAACCACTTCTCATTTTTAATACATTCACATGAGCACAGAACACAAAACTATTGCAAAGTGAAACTGAAGGAAAGCGTCGGTAATCCTCTCCTGGTTCGTGTGCAGACATATCCAGCCTCCATCCATCCACGGGGTGATGAATCCATCGAATGTTTGTACGTCCCAGTGCAGCAGCGCTGCTGAAGCCTCTCTGGTCGATATCAAAGCTGGAGCCATTTTAGACTTACATAAGCACCCTCCCTGTTGTCCAGGTCAGACGCGCTCCAAACTGTTTCTGAACCCACGTGCTTCGGTAGCCAGGCTGCTACACCCCTTTTGTCACCGTGGGAGCCAGTTGGCAGTCATAAAACATGGTGCAAACACAGTTTTGTTTGTCTGTATGTCGTAAAAGGAAAAGGTAATGAGATAAGAGATAGTGTTACGGCCACATTTACAGCAACCCTCCACCGCCTTCGCCACACAGCTCCTCCAGACTAGTGGCAGCAGCAATTAGTAAACACCTGGTGGAGCTGCACATCTGCTGAGCTCGTCATGCCACCTACGTCTCAGTCCAACGCTCCTAAGAACGGCTGCAAACAACACAATGGAGATGCCCTGTGTTGACATTGTGCTGACGTAGCTTCTTAAAGAGACAGAGGCGATTTCAAGGCATCAAGTTGTGAAACAAACTTTCTTTTACATTGTGTTTGATACATACAGGCATTTTTATAATAACTAGAGGTAACATAGTTAACTGACTGTTTTATTAAAAGGCCTGAAAAACACATACCTCTTAACTAAAGCATTTCTTTTACATCTACCGTATGTTTTGCCCTTTTAAGCAGAGTTTCAGTAATCCACAACTGAGCTGCTTCATTTAGCTCATTAACATCGTAAGTCCATTAAATATGTATAATTTTGGTGGTTAGGGTTGGAGGAAAAAAGGGAACTTCAAAATTTAATGTTGCACACAATAAGTCTCCATATCAACTTGTAGATACTTTCTACAAGCCGACTGCTTGAGAGTGATCTTTTAAAAAATGAGAAAACTTTATTTTTTGTTTTACCATCACTAAACGTGTGGAATTATCTAATATCTACTTGGGCTTTAACTAGACCTGTGCACTTTGGTTAGATTAAACTGACATTTGAGCTTTTCCACAATAAACACTCCAGTTGAGTTTTAGACTCCAAACAGCCAAAGCCTGTGCAGAAAACCCTGGTCATTCCCATTAATGACGTTAGACCAGACTGGCTTCATTTTTCCGCAGAAAAATCTTCTATGAATTTTATAGCCATATTAGGACACTGTATATACAACTTGCATTTATTTTAAAACACTGTAAGCATCTTTATGCAAATACAAATGGTGAACACTAAACATGTATGTACTGTTAATGTCAGAACTTTTGTTTTTCTTTTTCACAGAAACATCTTGAAATAAGTTTGTGTTTCTGCACGTAATGTTAACAGTCGACTTGGAAAGACAGCATGAGAATAATGCGTCAATGCAACACAACAGCAGAACTGTAAACAGCTACCGAGTCTGTGGATTACACAGCGTCAGTTTTTAAGTTGGTAACACACATGAGGCAGTTTCTAGCCTTCTGAAACTGAAACATTAATATCAACATAAAGATTAATAATAGGCCACAGGTTTAGCTTAAAAAGGCCTTTTCGGATAGGAAGGCATTTAGTTTGCACTCCTGAACAGGAAAGGCAGCTTTGGATGTTACTGAAAACATGACATAATTAGCAGCTTCGTCTAAAGTTGCATTTATAAAAAAAAAACAAATCTAAGAAATCTGTGTCTGGAACAAAGCATTGCACTTCATTTAGCTCATTAATATTGTAAGTCCATTAAATATGTATAATTTTATTTTGCAATGCCAGCTAAAAGAAAAAAAAAAAAGTAGACCAGACTGTTCTGCTAAACAACAGCGCCAAAGCTGACCAAACCATGACGTTGCTCCAACAAGCTAACCGTGTAAGGAAACAGCAGCCTTCAGAAAAATCACGTCTTCTCTCCCCAAGTCTTAAAAATAGGCGTTAATTAGATCTCGGTGGAGAATTAAAAATAAATGATTTCAACTTTATTAATGCGATCCCCTCCCCTCCAGTCAGAAGTCCTCCTCCCTGTCTGCACGCATGGCTGTGTGCGCTGTTAATGGGCTATATTTAAGCAGCAGGCGAGCACATGACCCCGACACCTAGTATCGTGTGTCTCTAACAAATAACACGCAGGGGTGGGCCGTTTCTTGTAGGTGGAAGCACATGTGTGCATAAATGCTTTTTGACAGCCGTGCGAGACGTGGCATGAAGCACCTTGAAGCTTTTGTGTCGAACATAAAACCCGACACCAGCGGCAGACGAGAGGAGGACGCTGACAGACACACCGATGGGAGTTTTAACGCCTCCTCAACAGGCAGGAGGCTGCGGCTCTCAGGTGTCGGATTGAGGCACGACGGTTTGTTTTGCAAATTGCTTAAACGTGGCAAACGCAAACTGCAACGCAAACACTGGAGCTGAATGCGAACCTGCAGGGATTTTGTTTGTGACTACGATATGAAGACCGATGAATAACCATCCGCTGCTGGATGGTTACTTTTTGTTGTACTATTACTATTTAAGAGCTTTTTGAACTTTTTCTACTTCTCATTCTATTAAGATCTCAAACCTCAGTGTTTTGAGGTTTGAGATCAATGTTAAATGTGGGGAGGAAGTATTCACATAATTTTCACACAGTTTCATTGGTTCAAAGTTACATTTTGGTCTGATCTAACCCAGGTGCCTTATATTCTATATCTCTGCTGTGGCCTCTATGTTTTTTGTGGTCTTCTTGTCTCTTTTCCAAAGCCAGATCTGTGGATTTCATAACTAATAGTTGTGATGTCAAAATATTCCTCTACCTAAGCTGCGGATCTCTGCACTTTTGGAGAATCGTAGTAAATGGAATGAATTCATACACATGGCACATTTTTCTGGTCTTTTACTCTTAAGTTAGAAGAACATGAATTAATTTTGTGTATATCTATGCACAAATATTGGCTATTATCTGTAATTTCTTTTACATTTTTGAGATGCATTAACCATATGTCAATGCTAAATTAGTAATTTTATAAACCGTGGTTTCCCTGAAATGATTCTTTTAATAGAACGCCAGCATCTCATGTTACACGCCAACTTGCTCCTTCTAGTTGAAAAATTTATGGAAAAACGCGGAAATGTTTGCATCAGGAAGAAAAAATGAATCCTCAAAAGGCTGCCTATTTTTTCAGCTGCGACTTGTTCACGTTTTACTAAACCTAACCTAAAACTATCCTTAAGGCAACTATTTGGTTTATGGTTAGTCAGATACAATTGAGTTATGTTAGCAAAAAAAAAAAACATAATCCTAAAAATACCTGTTCAAATTTTACAAGAAGCAGTCCTGATCACACTCACATGAATTTGCAGAAATATTTACATAGTAGCAACAGCATGTATAAAAGTTTACAAAAGATAAAATATTAAAAATGACTAAAAACTGAGATAAAAGTGTGTTTGAAATTATTTTCAACACTCAAAGTAATAAATCTGTCACTTCTGCTTCTGTAGGCTAAGACATAAAATATTCCTGAGATTAATGTCCACTTTTCAGCAACATCATAAGTTAATATTGCACAGGAAGTCATTATCCTCTTCATCTTGAGGGGTGGGACAGCTGGCGGGTTGGGATGCGGGTTCCTCCAGAAGCCTCTGCTCCAGAGCCGCATCTTCCGGGCTGAGCTGCTCTCCTTTGGTCATTACGTACACAAAATACTCAAAGCCCTCACCGTAACTGTCGTGTCTGACTGACCAGTCGTACGCGGTGCGTGCGTAGAGGCGTTTCCTGAAGAAGGGCTGCGCGAACGTGATGGAGACGAAGCGGCCTCCGGGTTTCAAGCAGCGACTTATCTAAGAGAAGAACCGAGAAAGGGAAGGAAGAAAAACATGGAAGACAGATTAATTCATGGAAATTCTGCTCCACTAATCATCCGCTTGGTGCAGAATCATAAAACCTCTGATGAAAGCTGCAGATTTTATTAATATCATTATGAACCATCAGTGCTTTTTTTTGAAAGTATGCCCTCAGTCAGGATAAACCATTGGTTTGTTGCTCAGTAAACCTGTGTGAGAAACAAGCCTCATCCAGATCTGACTCATCTACCTACTTGCCACTTTGCTTAAAATTAAAGCGGCACGCTGCATCCACAGCATCTACCAAATGTCAAATTATTTAAAACTCTAACCTCTTAAAGCAGGTGCGTGTCCAACGTAGCCGTCTTAATTTGAGGTGCAAGCAGGTCATCCTGCTGAGACACTAATCCGCTGCTTAGTCATGCAGACAATTAACTCGTAAAAACACCGCTGTGTTTATACTTCTTGAAGGAACTCCAGAGCTAAAAACAGGATTACAGTATACAAACACACTCGCAAGTTCACACACACGCAGGGTTTAAGCGCTGACAGATACAAAGATTTAGTCAGACTTTGGCAGCAAGTGTCTCCGGAGACAGAGTGTGAGTGGGAGTGAGGGGACAGGACATGAAGAACACCGAGCCGAGCGCAACAAAGTTTTTATGTTCTATAAACGGTTTTCGCTCATTAGCTCTTGCTAATATCCACACAAACATGTCAGAATATTACGCGGAGTTGCTCCATCGAACATTGAATTACAGAAAACTAACAGTGTGAGAAGAAACTGCCGGTGTGGTAGAGAAAGCTGTGGAAGTGTTTCATGGATCGCAGATGAGGAAAAGTAAAATGTGATCTAAAATATAACAGTGAGGAGCAGCAGAACATTTCTTGCTCTTATTTATTCAGAGACATGATCTTTTTGATGGTGAGAGGAAGAGAGGTGATTGATGTGCAGCACAGATCAATCGGCCATAAGGTTCTGTTAGTAGCTGCTCCTAATCTAGGATGCGATGGCTTAGGATACCAAGCTCTCCTTGGCCCTAGAATAAAAAAAGACTTTGTGTAGCCAAACTTCCTCTGCAGGTGCTTTTTTGTTTCGGTTTTGATGATTTCAATAAATGTAAGGTCCTCAGAGATAACAACAGCCAGGTATTTGAAGGTAGCCATCCTCTCAACGACGACGCTGCCGATGTTGAGGCGCGTGCACAAAAACTGTCGCTCTCTGCTAAAGTCCAACACCAGCTCCTGAGTTTTGCCGACGTTCACTTGGCGACAGATGTTCTGACTTAATGATGGCAGGTCCTTCATTTCTTTCAGATTCAGAGCCTCATAATTTTCTTTAAGATATGAAGCTTCACAGGTGTGTCATCAGCAAATCTGATGAGGAGTTAGTCAAAACTGCACAAGGTATAGAGCAGCAGACCAAGTACAAACCCTTGTGGGACTCCAGTGCTGACGTTCATAGAGTTGAGGATTCCAGCATTGGACAGCTTGTTACAAGCCTTGCAGGAATAGAAAATACTCTGTTTTTCACTAAGGATCATTTAAGTAATTTATAAACTTTTTTATTAAGCTTTCTTATTTACCATTACTACATTTAAATTTGAAAAAAGCCTGCTTTACCCCTGGACGCTGGTGCAAAGAAGAGCTAGAGGCTTTTGACAAACCAGTAAGAAAATTGAGTTTGGAAATAAAAGCCTCTAATATTAATGCGCGTTTCAGTGCAAATGAAAACTACTACCAACATGGGATGGTGAAGGAGCGCAAATTAAGAATTTAACTCAACAGGCAACAGGTTGTACCCACCTGGTCCAGGCTGGAACAACAATGGTTGTTAAAATGGTAATTATATTTTACTGGTCATCCTGGAGCCCCTTTTTTGGTCACAACACATAGATTTTCAAGCACCTTGGTATTTAAATTTGAGCTTCATCTGAAAATTGAAAACCACACAACCAAACATCAATGACAAAAATAACTACTGAGGGTTTTTTTTTTTTTTCCAGCTTCTGTGAGATCTTCATGGCAAAGCCATCACGGCGAAGCTACGAGGCCAGAATGACGAGGCGGAGCGTTTTTCTACAGAAGAGACGCTGTGAAGTAGAGCAGCTTCAACATCACCGTGCCGAATGTGTCTTTGGAGTGAAGAGTCGCTCTGAAACGAGCACATGTATCCTGCTCTTCTTGAGTGATTCATATCCACCAGCAAGAAGGCCGAACATAAATTATTTACCTTCCACTGCGACATGGAAGTACTGCAAGAGGGAGGCTGGATAAGGTTTGGATAAGATATAAGGCAAATTAAATTACACAGAAACAGGAGAACGACGAGCCATCTGTCTTAATCAATTTCTTTCAATGAGAAAATCGAGGCTGATTGCAACACACTTATGAGTGCTGAAGCGATCGCAGAGTTTTAAACATCATATGTAGTCCACTGCTTATAATCACGAAAACACACATTTTCTCACATTTGAAGGAATTTATGTACAAAGTATAGATGGCTGCAGCATTTAAACAAATCTTCAATGAATCGGCAAATTTGAAAGGAAGCTGAAGCGAATAATCCTGACTCCAGTCATCATTCATAAATCTGATCTGTTTGTCTGGAGTCCAAACCGCTGCGTTGCGTCACCGATAAGTGAAGAACTAATGTCACTGGAACTGATCAACACATTAAACCACGGCAAACAAATCAGCTGGAACCACCGCTAGTGGGCTAACGACGTAATCGCACCGTGAGCGTCTCAGCTACTGAAAGCAGACAGCTCGTAACCATGAGCCCGACATTTCTATATGGTGGCAGCGTCATGCTTTTCCTCAGCAGGGCGATGATGCCAGTCAGACTGATAGGAAAACGGATTGAGCTGATTACATGACAACCCTCCTTACTGAAATGGAGGTTCTCTTTCCAGTAGGAGAACATCAAACATGCAGCCAACTCAAATGCTATCAAAGTCCAAGCTCGAGTCCAACTGAGAGTGTGTGGCAAAACTGGAAAATAAAAGTTTTTTTTTTTTTGGAACGGTTGGTGCATGCATGAATGATCCAAACATTTCTGTGGTTAGAAATGTTTGGATCGCTACATCAAACCCAAATACTGAAACACATCCGTTAAACCCAAAGCCAGGTTTCAATCCGGCCACTTTAATCAGATATCTGCAATGTGATCTAAAGTGAGTCACAGGGCTCTTCCCAGACCGCAGAGGAAACTACTCTGTGAATTCGCTTAATGAAAACCCAACACACACAGAAGCATAAACACACAAAGGCACACACACACACACGCAGCTTCCTGACCTTTGCTGAATTATTCAACGTGGTGTCGGAAGCCTGCGTCGGAGTGACCTCACCTGTCTTGGGTATAACACAACAAAGAGGAAACACGAGATCTGGTGTTAAGTTTCACGTCAGAAATCCCTGGTGATCTAATTAACACTCTGCTCTTAAGGGAAGTTTGAGAGACATCTTTGTTTTTTCTTTTAACTTTGTTGTCTCCCTCAACAAGGAGACCAGGAGCAGAAGTCGGTCTTCCTCAAGCTTTATTATGCTAGAAAACTGTAAGCACATATTCCTGCTGCATCACCTACAGCTCTAAGGACAGCTTTGTCCTTTAGGTCATGACCCTGGGAGGTTAAATCCTGTTCATATTAGCGATAAATAATTCAACACTGCATATTATAGTATTTCAATGTCAAGCTATAGCTCCTGGCCACAAAGAAGCCAAGAATGTTGTCGAAAGTGGTCAAGAATCGATAATGTGACAATAATCACTTGAGATTAAAGTAGATTATCCAGACTTACTGAGAGCAACAGCTTGGGCACCAAGCAACCAAGCAAATGGTTCAATATTTTTGCTGTTTTTTCTTGCAACAAAATCAAAACGCCAATAAACAAAAGCTAAACAAAACATAATTAACATTCAGTATGACAGATTAAGTTAGCAGTAATCGGAATAACTGCGATGTTTACGTTGTTATACAATTTGTATGAATTATTTCAGTACTTTCTTCTATTTTCACTCAAGGTTATGATACATTAAAAAAATCCTGCATCAGCCCCATTCCTAGTTCTTAGCAGGTTTATTACTTTAATAGATCAGTAGCAAAAGTGTACAAAGAGGCTTTTAAACTGGAGAATTATAGTTTTTAATAATATATATATATAAATTGGTAACAAAAGCTGATGAATTTATTTTATTAATTAACATTGTCTTTTAATGTTTTTTATTTTTTACAACTGTGTCATATTTCAGTTTTTTTATATATAATAAAATTGTCATAAAGGATTATCGTTGTAATATTTTAAAATCTAAGGTAGTTTGTACAAGAGGCTAAAAGCAAAATTGAGGAAATTCGATGAACTCGCATCAACTTTTTGGGTCTCAGCTCTGAATATGCCAACTTTATTGTCCCCGATTGACCTTTCTGCTTCAGTCAGAGACGAGAGAAGGCATCCAAGGAGACTGACATTTCGTTTACTCGGCAGGCACCACTTCTCCAGATCGTCGTCCTTATTCCTCCGTTTCACCGCTCAGACTTTCAGTTCACGGAGGAGCAGAGCGTTAACGTTTTATCCTTCCATCATTCATCAGAAGTTTGCCTGAAGACACAGTTTGGGACATGAGATCACTGATTGTCTCTGGGGGACACGTGAGGACACACACGCATGTGGTGGCGACAACGGTGTCGTTTGACTCCGTCCAACCGTTGGGTTACATAATCTGGGTTCGCCTCAGATTACAAAGGTAAATCTGCTGAACTGAAATCACCGTCTTCAACTCAAATCCTTGAGATTTAGAAACTTTTCTTTTTCTCAGCAGTGTGTTAAAATTTCACACGACTGGAATAAGACAAACTTGGTTGCTGCAAATGTTTTTGTAATTTGAAATATTTCCCAAATGTGGCTGATTTTAGAACACTGTCAATTAGCAATTCCTTAATAAGGTATTCAATATGTCTCAACATTTCCATGTGTCATTACAACCAACATCAATG